CCCGACAGTGAATGAGACCGAAATAATTTCTCACGTCCTGGAAGTCGTCTGTGATGATCTCGGGATGCCCTAGGGGAAAAGGTCTGTGTTTCAACACGTAAGGGTATAAGGAACACACGTCCACGTATCTCATGTCCCCTTCTTCACAATATAATTTAGTGGCATTGGTCCGGCCTCCGTACAGGGCTTCTCGAGGTTTCAAAGGATCCGGAATGTCCAGATCTCGTACAAATTGCTGTAAAGTCTCATCTTGTTGCACTTGTTGATCGAAATCGTGCTCCCAGATACTACACACGTTGTACCCCATGTCCTCTAAATCCGCAGTCCTTCTGAGAGTTTTCTCGTGTAATTGTTGGTAAGTAAATTGAGTCCGGTGAGGATGAGTTTCCGTCTGTAAACTGGGATAGCAAGTGGGGCATCCGTGCCAATAGCATCCGTAAAATTCGTAGACGGTGCGAGTCGCTTCCTGGTATCCGTCGACGGTATAATTTCCGATCGGGACTTCGCCTCCGTTTCTGGCATGTCGTATGTGACATCCATTCTGATGACTCATCCAGGTGAGCCATCGACAGGCTTTGACCGAATATTGTCGTGCCGGATCATACCCGAGGTTCGGAATGATGGCAATGCTGTCTTTAGGCATGAAATTTCGACGGTAGGCTAAATTAGCAGCACTGGCAAACGTGATGGATTCCTGGAAAGGGTCCACGTTGACCAACTTCTTGAGGGTGCTTCTAAACCGTGCACAGCATTTGTGTAAAATGTCGACGTCCGAGACACAATACCCTACAAACTCTTTCTGGAAATCAAACACTTTTCCCCTCTGTTGGTCGTACCATTCGTAAAAAGCTTTTCGTCCACTGGTAGTCATTTCGTCCGGATTGTAGAAAGCTGCCGGTGGATAAGGTCCCACGTAATTCTGGTTCTGTTCCGTATTAAAAAAGTGAGGGAAATAACCTTTCTTCATTTCGTTCAAATCGAAAGCGGAGGGCATCTGGGCCAAAGGAAAGGTTAAGAAACTATACGAGTCGATGAATTTGAGTCCACATATTTCCATGGACAAGATCTTACTCCCGTTCATGATCACGCTAGGTTTCAGGGGAGAAGAATGCACTATGTAATTCAAAATGAATTGTCCGTCGTATCCTTTGAAGTTATGGGCGATGACGATGGCCCCGTCGTGTACTAAAGTGGAATTCTTAGTACCTGTAGTGGGTTGAAATAACCAGTCCATGAACTTCTTTAAGGTGTCTGGGCCTTGAAATAGGTGCTGACGGGGTCCCATGTGTTGACAATGAGGACAAGGTTGGTCTATGTCTAAGTCATCGCAATGTTGACAGACGCGATGTGCCACACACAGATTAGGGACGTGAATGCCCGATTCCTGAGTGCATTCGAAATCGAAATAAATGGTAAACTCTAAGGTGTCTTCTCCCTTCTTCTTCTTCTTCTTGGGTTTCTGTGGAACGTAGCACCGATGATCGGCATCGACGATTTTCTTACAGATCTTACACTGTTTCTGATCTCCGCATTTGTGATGAGGAAATAATTTCTTTGGTATCCAGGACTGACACTTCTCGCATAGTCCCATTAAATTGCAGACAGTAGTGGTGGTTTTCTTACCATGAGGTTTTAAATGATCTTCGTAGCAGGTCCTGTTCTTAAAAGTTCCATGGCATTCCTGGCATTTAATCTTGATCCCTTCATCGGGACATTTAGGGTGAGGTCCTAAACAAAAGGGACAGCGATGAGGACATTTGGACCGATGGTCTGTGACATTCCTGTACCCCACGTCGCAATGATCACAGTAGTAGGGGTTCCCCGTTACTCCCGGCATCGATATGATGGCATCGCAATGACGGTTGTCTAACAAAATGTTCAAACAAGTTCCATCTCCCCAGCCTTTGAAGATGCGCTCTAAACAGAGTTTAGTGGAAGTAGATTTGAACTGAAATATTTTCAGACGATACTGAGGAGCTAATACCTGTTGTAATTTTATCCACTCTGCAGATCCACACGCTTGAGTGATATCACATCCGGCCTGTTCCATGAGAGCTATGGCTTGGTTCTTCTGGTCCAAGGATTTCTTATCTCCCTTCCGCATACGGAGCCAACGTTTTTCCCATTCCGGGTCTGGATGATCGGGTTTCTGACTGTGTAATCGAGTGACGACGATGGCTCTAGCTAAACACAATTTATCATGGGGATTGACGATCCGAACGATGGCTCGTTTATTTTTCTTGAAACTCTCCTTATTCACTTGTAGATGTTTGGTTCTGTCTCCACCACTCCCCTGGGGATTCTCGATGTGTAACAGCTGGAATTCCGTGGAGCCGTCGCCGATTTTGAACTCCTTTTTGGATTGTTGCACACGATTTATTTCTTCAAAAATGACGTCTTCGTTTAATTTTTTACACTGCATAAACGGGTACGAAATGTCCGAATCCAAAGATGGGTGTTTTATGTTCAGGCTAAGGTAATCGTTAGGATCACACTGCATTTTCAATTTGAAGTCCTGTAACATGGTTTTGAATAATCGTCGAAGGAAAGCCGTGGTTTCTTCTTCTTCTGGAAATTCATCGAAATGAACGACATATTTTTTTTCATGCGCTTTAAATTTTGGTGAGGTCCTTTCTTCACCTAGTCTCATGTGATAATACTCCGAAATGGGTTTAGGTGGTAAATCTATTTCTCTCTCGGTACTTTTTCGTTTCAATGTTCGTCGAGGCTGTACCTGTTTTTCTCTAGTAGAATCCATGTCTATCACCCTGATGGCTCTGAGGGTAAAATGAACCCAGAGTGAAAGAAAAACCACATTTATATACAGTGGATGACGTCATAATACACAGGTAAGCATTTTTGCACACGGCCCTAAACAAACTTGGCTCGCTGCCAAGTATTTACCTGTGTAGTCAGCATAAAAAAGGTAACGTAGGTAAAAGGTATATTTGCACAAGGCCCTTAAGTTTTTGCACACGGCTCTCTTTACAGGTGATGCAACAGGTATATAAAGCCTAGGTATTTTTTGCACACGGCTCACACCAGGTATATAAAGCCGAGCTGGGAGTACCCTGCACTCATTGTACCCATCATGTATTTCACGTGGAGATTGATCTATTGGTTTGATGTAGAAAAATATGTTTGTCATTACTGTGATCAGAATACGATGAATTATAAAACATTGACAGTGTATAACTATCCGGGATGGCATCAGAGAACGTACAGGATTTGTCAGCATTGTGAAATGCCATTTCCACACTGGTATGTGGATGATGAGCCTTCTTTAGAAGATTGCGGTTGTAGCTGGTGCCTGAAATACTTCATACACAAGAAAGGAATTGAGAACATACCGCCTCCCCGATGGATGAAAATGACTAGGAACAGACCGTTGAAAGAATGTATGATGTGCTACCAGGAAAAGACTCAAGGAAAATGGAAATGCGAACAATGTCGGCAATATCCGTGTTGTGAGGAATGTGTGAAGAAACTCTTTGAGACGTCCTACCAGAAATGTCCCTTATGCCGATACAGTGGAAATTAAAATCATTTTTGTATTTTTTCATTGTGAATAAAAATTGAAAATCACAATCTGTCTTGTTTGTGTTTTGTTTTCAGTAAAAAAAATCCAGGTGGTTCTTGTCTTTCAGTAAAACCAGTTCAAACCGGTTATAGGACTGTCTAGACTGTGAAGCGTGACGTCATAATCACATTCTTGCAATGTTTTTTGCACACGGCGCATTTTTTACCTTTATAGTCACAAAAAAAAAAAAAAAAAAAAAAAAACGTAGTACCTACGTATAGTGTAAAACACACTCCGTATTTTTAAGGGGATAGGGTTAGGGGTAGGGGTAGGGGGTTAGGGTTAGGGGGTTAGGGCTAGGGGGTTAGGGTTAGGGTTAGGGGGTTAGGGTTAGGGTTAGGGTTAGGGCTAGTTAGGGTTAGGGCCAAGGGATTAGGGCTAAGGGGTTAGGGTTAGGGAGTTAGGGCTAAGGATTAGGGTTAGGGGTAGGGTTAGGGTTAGGGTTAGGGGGCTAGGGTTAGGGTTAGGGGTTAGGGTTAGGGGGTTAGGGTTAGGGGGTTAGGGTTAGGGGGTTAGGGTTAGCACTGCACTCAGTTGACCCACTTATCCCCTCAACCAATCAAAACTGATCACGTGATTTCTCTCAGCCAATGACAATTTGTACCGTATATGATTAACATCTCAATAACAACCAAAAATAGTGATTCGAATATGCAAAAATTGCATGTAGTCTCAAATTTGTTCAAATCATTGTCCTCAAGAGAAGGGTGAGGTCACAAAAGCGGATACAAATTTAAACATGATAACATGTAGGAATTTTTTTTAATAAAATACTTTTTATCATTTGTTAAGATATATATTGTATATATATTTTTAATTCCCTCTTGCTTGTCCCTCCTCCCAAAAGCAATGCCAGGTTTTATAAAAATATTCAGTTATAATATAGCAATCTTAAGGGAAAAAAAAACTTCATAGAAACTATATCAACAATTTATAAAGAACATGCACCTTCACCACTTCACTCCAAAGTGTCTTTTAAAAAATATTTCCAAAAATAATACGCTTCCTCCAAATGTCTTTGGTAAGTCACTGGAAGACCATTCTACAATGGTTGTATATAAATTAGTGATAACTGGTTACATATGTCAACAAATTATCTATTAATATAGGCATATGTAAACGTCATAAAAGTTCAAATCAAAACCAAACATGTTGCCGATTAAACTCAAAGTAACTAACTCCACGTAGTATTGAGCAGAGGTTTAGGTTCCAAAAATAACAAATTTATCTGCCTATCTATACAATAATGGAAAACGAAAAAAAAAACCCTAGAAGATTAAAAACCAAACACTTTTCCAAGACAAAATGCGTGTAGATTATTGGGGCTTTGTCATATTTTAACATCCAATTTACAATTTTAATATTCTCAATTTTTTTACCATTTGATTTAAGATAGTGATTTATCAGGAAGACTGCTACAGTAAAAATGAAAAAAAAATCAGGTTCAAAAAAATATAGGCTATCCATCAAGAGCTTCCATCACACTAGAGTTGCAATAGCGGGAATTTTTGCGATAGAACTCCCTGACTTCAGATGCATTTCCACGTGCGCAGAGTACGGATTGTAGGTTCCGAACACAGGCCAGAGGGGTTCCGTAAAGTCTAAGTTCCGGAAGGTGTAGAGGACCTTTTGGCTTGCGCAATCAATCACCGTCCATTGGCGATTGTCAGTGTCTAACAGAAACCCGTAGGACATCGACATATTAGTACCAGCAACATCAGCAGAAATCGGGCTGTGCAATAAGAGCGTCCTCTTGTGGCGGAACTTGTGGCAAAGTTGTTTGTGTTCATTACACCTTTCAGCAGAGAAAGACCAAGCGAACATTTGCGCACCTACGTAGAAACTGTTATGTATGCTTTCCCATCGCCCTATCCCAATCTCAAATATCAGGGCATTACGCACGAGATTCACGTGGATTCGATAGGAGACATTAACTTCGTAATAATAGCGTCCTGGAGTTCGGAATGGCTTGGTACCCACCACTCCACAGTACTTCTTTAACCTCTTCCCTTCAAACGTCTTGTCGTTCGTCACGATGTCTAAATGCGCGTCCAGTGACAGGGCTTCCAGTCTACCTTGTGCTTTTGCGGTATCCTGTTTGATGGGTCCGTTATCATCCCAAGGGAAAGATCGAACTGAAAGTAAAATTTTATTTCATCAAGAATTATTCCAAAAATATTGCAAAACTTCTTAGAGGATGAATTTTTCGAAAGAAATGTCGTTCATACCTCTGGGTTTCTTTAACCCGCGTATTGTTTTCCGTTTTAGTGTAGTCACGTCAGAGCGAAGGACCCTTCCATCAGGTGCTACATCACGTTCTGCATGAGCAGTTTCAATGTCAAAGGTAAAACCGGGACCTATAAAATAAGCAGAATCAACTATTGTCCATGAATTTTGGATAAAACATGTATCATATATGAATTGAAATTCTAAACATGATACTTACAAGTAATGTCCCCGTATCTTTTATCAATTTCACCTTAAATGAAAAATAATATATTTATTTTTAAATCGTTGTATCAGAAACTTTGACATAATTTTTTTAGGAAAACAGTAACTTTCGACAAATTCAAATCAATTTGCTATGAAAGTTTACTGCAATCTGCAAAAGGGTTTAGTATATTGATAATACCTGGAGTCCTTGCATTGAATGGATAGCCATCCTCCTTGACCAAGCGATCTAACACCTTGACTAAGGCCCGATGTTGACCCAGCTGACTAGCTGTGTAGTAAACTCTATAGCAACCATCCACTGTCTTTGCGTCTTCAACAGAAGCCAAGTTCATCCGGCCCTTTGGATCTCTGATCTCTACTTGGACACAATCAAAGGAGTCTTTCTGGGGGACACCCTTGCTGTCGTACAGGAAGAGCTTCATCACCTCTGCCTCGTTGTCGACTGGGACATCGAATGCCTCCGCCATCGTTTTAGGAGGATAAATGGCGGTAGATCTGATTTTCCCCATTCCTACTGCAAAAACTTTGAATTCAGATCCCATATGATTCTTATCGAAAGCTAAGAATGAGTTTTCTAGAGGACATGATTCAATTTGCTTATCTTTTAACATGGAGAGTCTTGCTGAAATTGTATCTGTTAGGATGACGAATTCAGCAGGCATCGCGTGAGCCATAATATGGCTGGAAAATTCTTTCCCAGCATTCATCAGCACAAGGGTGTACTTCAAACTCTCTCGTTGTTTCTGTAATATGGCACGCTTATCTTTGCATTTTCCTTTCAAGGTGTCCTTGAGTTCTCGTCGTCTGACTTCCAGCATCTGTATGCTCTCGTCAATTTCTTTGTCGATGTCTTTTGTTATATCCAGGTACTTCTTGTCCAGGTTCTTCATTTCTTCCTCTGTGTCAAACATCACGTTCTTCGTGAAGGTGATTCGATCTTCCATGTCCTTCGTCAGATTGCTTATGACTGCCTTGTGGTCCTCGTAAACATCGGCCAGGCGTCGGGTGTTATGTCCACTTGTCTCATCGTGGTCTAGGACGGTGCACATCTTGCAGACAGGCTTTTCGCATCCCTTTCTTGTGCAGTAGTACACAAGCTGCTGCCCTTCGTGTCCAGGCATATCGCAGGTCTGCTGTCGAAGGAAAGGCTCGATGCCTGAATTGGTCAACTGATCGACTGGGGTAATGGTATGGCTGCGGGACATGAAATTCCTTAAGTGAGCTTTTCGACATTCAAAACACATAAAGGAATAACAGTCTTTGCAAAAGAATCCAGCAATTCCGCCATCCGGACAATCCCTACAAGGAATTTTCGTTTTCTTCTTCAGCTGAACAAAATCTCGTAGTGTTCGGCGTGTATTTTCTTTAGGAAAGTTTTTAACGCTGTCATTTGGCAAGGTGTGCTGTGACTTGCAGCTTGGACAATATATGAACCAATCCCTGACATGTTTTTCGAGGCAACGGTTACAGAACGTGTGCAGACATGGCAATACTCGTGGCGTGTGTTCCTTTTCGTCATATTCAGACTTGCACACTTCACAAGTTAAGAAGTCATCTTTAAGGTCATCAATCCTAAGAGAAGCTCTGGGAAGAATTGGCAAATCCGGAATATTCTACAATGTAATATGGCATTAACTTTCAAAGCCCTATTTTCCCGTTCTGTTTTCTTAACCTTTTTGATAAGAATTTATAAAGTCAATATAAAGATTCAATTTTGAAAATTTCTATGATCAAATGATTTTGCAACAGACGTTATAAATTTGTTTCGGATACATGCATTACTTGCCCTAGCTACTTCTGCTGCTGGAGGCGCGTCACGTGGTGTTTTCCCTTCCATTTGATTGGGCTTCTCTGCTGCCTTCTTTTTGATTGGTTCCCTGAAACTAATCGGCTCTCTTTCTTTCTTTTCCTTGGGTTCCTTTGCTCTGAAATCTACTTTTTCGACATCTTTGGGTGCCTCAATTGACCGATCTGTTTCCGGTAAAGGAATCAGACCGTTTGTGAGTGGTTTTTTGCCTTTGTTTGTCATTATAACTCGGGATCTGGGTTCCGGAATTCTGTAACTGATTGGTTCTCGGAATGTCTTTGGTTCTCTCTCCTTCGTGTACGTCTTAGGTCGTTCACTGCTGTGATAGCCTTCGTCTCGGGATTCACGTGATTTTCTTGTATGAATAATTTGAGTCTTTAAATAAAATACAAATTAAAATTTTGAAATTCGTAAAAAAGAAAAACATGAGATAACGAACTGTATTCACGCTCAAAAGTTAATAAAAGCAATGCAAAATTGGAGCAGAGCAAACAAGGACCTCCAAAAAAATCAGAAGTGGTATCAGGTGCCATAGAGGAGTGAGCATCCCCTGCTGACCGGTCACATCCGCCGTGTGCTCCATGCCATGCATGATAGTAGCTTGTGCTTGTCAAATTGAACAGTTAATCTTTGCCAACCAGTAAACCAACACTCTGATACACATCTTTGTACGAGTCTTACATGTACCTTCTCTAGTCCTGTAGCCTGCATCACCCTGGCGTACCCCGGAAGTCCGGTTAAATCCCGGGTGTCTGTGCGTTGCTGGACCAGGTATCCAGCCTAAAAATAGTAACATATATAACATCGATGATTATACAACTGTAAGTAAATTTACGCTAAAATATAGATATTCCGATATGGTTTCAGCAATAACTGAGCAATACACTTTGAAACTGTATTAACAACATGCATTTTTTTCTTATTGGACCAAATAAAAGCTCTGATTGAAACAAACACAGGTATACATGTATACCTTACTGTAATGAATTGATATAGCTGAGCTTTTTGCTAAAGGATTTATTGAAATTTAAGTGTATTGTTTTTTTATGCTATCAAAGAGAATAAAATTTTAACTATTTTAGTCGCTAGTCATTACAATTTACTACTCACTAAGCAGGGAGGCGTTCTTAGAAATTTTGTTGCAGTTGAAAATGGTTAGAAAAAAGCAGAAGAAAATCAAGGCACAACAGGGCAAGATAATACAAAATAAGTTTATATACATCAATTATCAGTAATTTTATGTTACAAACCATCAAAGTTTTCTTTGACTCGCACCCTAGGGTATTCTACATGTACTGAAGCATCAGCCTGGAAATGGGGGGGGGGGGGTGTTATAATTTGGTGAAAAGGACCCATTGTTCGTTGCTCGGTCCTATATTTCAAAACGTACATAAGTGTTTGAGAGGTCACCAGGACTTTCAAGTTTGTTTCTAAATGTACCGGGTATATATTACTCTTCGTCGTTGATTTATGACACTCTTGAAACAATAACGTCATAAAACTCCCCGGCTATCTTGAAATGTTCAGTGCAATGCATATATGTAAAGTGATTAAAGAGTGTTAATAAATATTGAGCAATTTGATCTAATCAACAAATTTGTTTTAAATAACCTAACTTTAATTAAAGAAAATGCATTTTACATCTTATTTGTATGCATTGAAAAAGAAAATGTCGGGTGTGTGTTTGCTATATTTGCATAATTTGAAATGTAACCTATAAAATAGTTCAGAAAGTAACAAACAAAAATATTCGATACAATTAGAACTTCGATGGAATTTTTTCATGAATGAAGGAAGGATGATGCATAATGTATAAGCATAATGGAATCTGTTACATATACTTAAATAGAACCTGATACATTTAACAACGTACCTGCATTTTAAATGATATTCTCTCTTATCCAAAACTTTTGGTCGAAAATTTGAAGAGGTGGGAATGGCGTTTACTGTGTGTGTCTCTT